ATTGCAAGTCCTCTTAAGGAGGCTAACTTTTGGATCGCCCTTGTTAATGCACATCCTTGCTCTTACCAATGCCTTCTTGACGCACTCACCAATGGCTTATCACAACCCTCGTTTGTGCCATTTATCATCATCCTCATATATGCCTACTCATAGTCCCCTTAGAATCCTTCTCTACATCCTCATTGATGGCTTTTTTGCACTCTCGTTAATTCCTTTTCAATATCCTTGTTGTTGCCTTCCTCCTTTTTGAGAAGTTACCCTACTAAAAACATCTCAATGCCTTTTCATACTTTAGTTGATTTCCTTGCAAGTATGTTGCTTTGGCATCTTGACTAGTTGTCAAGTCGACATCTCAAAGATAACTGGTTATTTTACTCATCAACATCATGGTCTCATTATCTCGACATGTTTTATATTAGAGTTGATCGTTGCCTTAAGCACCACCACACAATCTTTAGTGATTTGGTCTAGTTTTAGGTTATGTTGTTCTTTAGGTTCATTTTATTTTTTTCTTAGTAGTTTAGTTTGCCTATATATAATTGAAGAGGCTGTACTAGATGACCACTCATAGCCAAATAAATCAATAAGATTTTTTTTATCTCTGCCTCCCTCTCTTCCTCTCTCCTTCTCTCCCTTAAGATTCAAAGAAGAAGCACACTTCCTCAAGAAATCCCAAAAAATTGGTATCAAAGTAAGGTGGAGGCAATCAAGGGGAAGGATGAAGTGTTTCTTGTATTCAATAAAGAGAGCGGGAGCGGAGGAGCGGGATGATCAGACTGATTTCTCATGGGTATGCCTGGGATCGGACGCATGCAAGCATAGGTGGCGTGATTGGTGGGGTCAGAGTCTTGTAACACAGCTGTGTGTAGGAACTTAGATCACGTGCCGGTAGATGTTCGACCAGAGTGGAGCATGCATGAAAGCTTGCGGGAATAGGTTACACACAGGTGTTGGGCTAATGCCAACAATAAGTAGTGAAAGAGTCTTTCAAATATATGTAGTGGTTCCTACGAACACTGAAAGAGTCACAAATAAATGCAGCAACTTGCCAATCAGTGCATGTAGAGACAATAGGTAGTGAATGTTGTAACACTCTCATACCTGATGACTATCCAATAGAAGGCAAACACGTCAATCCATTGCATGCATGGAGGGTGATATGCAGCGAATGCAAGAACCTACGAACCACTATAGAAGATCCGTCATGTATATAACGTGCTATCTTCAAACAAATATAGAAAAGTCGTAGTAAACGCAAATTCCTTTAAGCAGCGCCAAAAAATCTACATTCAAAGCCACTTGCCTGCTTATGATGGTAGAAGGCCCGTGATGCATACAACGGTCCTGCCTTCAAGCAAAATACACAATGAATGTAGTCCACTTGCATGCAACAACATACCACTTTTGAACGTCCACTGACGGCGCACTACTTATAGACAAATTCAACAAAACTCACCAAAGCTATGATTCAGCTGTGAGCTAAAGCAGGGGATCAATAGTAAAAAATGTGGGCCACTTAAGCACGACGCCACACCACCAGATTCACAACACCCATGTAAGAGGATAGAAGGCGTGTACAAGCTCCTAAATAGAACGCTGCATTTAAATGACAGTTGCCTGCATAGTTGATATCAATTAAGACATTAAAAATGCCCCCACACATGCACTACAAACACAAAAATATACATGCAATATTAACCCATATACATGTAAAAATAAAAACACCCGTATGGTCTCCGATTAACATATTATAGGTACACACGTGCCATCTGAGGATGCTGTGTAAGTCAAATAATAAATTTAAGTTCGAGCTCGATCCTTTTATGCTAGTAGATAGGAGTTGACATGGCTCGAGCTATCTAACAAATGTACGGTCGAGGTGTTGACTGAGATATTTTGTTTTATACGTTCATATTACGCTTTCAAGAACTATAACTAGGAAAATTTATTAATAAAATCTTGCAGTCGATAATAAATATGATCCTCTATCAGCAATTAGATAGAGTCGATAAAGTTCAACAGATAATTACAAAATACCACATAAACACCCGCATGGTCCTGACAAGCTTGTTGTAAGCACACATGGACTTTTAAGAATGTTGTGCAGGTTAATAAATGAAATTAAGGTCGAACCCGATCCTTTTATATTGTTCAATAAGAGTCGACATGGTTCAAACCATCAAATAAGTGTACGGTTGTGATGTTGACCGAAATACTTATTTTAATACATTCATATTAGACCCTAAAGGTCTATAAATAATAAAAATTTACTAAGTAAAGGCATAAAGCCTACAAAGAACACGATCATTATAAACAAATAGACAGAGTCAACAATGTTCAATCCACAAATGAAATTACCCATAAGTCACTCCGAGGATGGCCATATTGACAGAAAATCTCAACCGAAGGGGACTATAAGTATTCAAATGCCTCTCAAATGCCCATGATAACTCAAAATTTCAAAAATTCTAAGGTTCAAATATTTTAAATCAAAATTCAACCATTAAACACTTAAACCAAAATCCATCCACCTTATGTAATAATTTATCGAGGTGGATAAATCTAAATTTTTTTAGCTCACAAAGAGCTAATGTATGGTCTAGAATATCACTAGGAGGCATTCTCAAATAATCTCTTGTCAATAAAGATGTGACATGTATCATCTAATCGATAATTTTGTCCTTAAATGGCACGGCAGGTAAACATTTATGATTGGGGCCCTGTGAACTGAGTGGTTTGCCACCAAATGACACCACTAAATTATGGTTATAGCTAGAGCTCGTAAGCTCCTACTAAATCCTTGAGATATGAATCAATAAGATGTGATTCATAGGGCACAAAGCCCTATGTTAGCTAAGGTGAATTCAATTTTATCTCCTTAGACAAACAATCCCCCTGGGTCTACAAGGTGCCCTTAGATGAAGCAACCCATGGCTGTCGACAAGGATCATTATGTCAGGTTAGGTCGTCTACCTTCTATGATTAAGTAGACCAGTGACCACGATGGCCCGGACAACTGAACCATGGGATCTTGATCGGGCTCATCATCTAGTCCCCCACCATTTGCTTTTAAATATCAAATTTTCAAATGCATAAACCCATGTTGCTACTATACACCATATAACACATACCTTTATGTATTTTACTGATGACTAGCATTTTATCAAAAGTTCTCCCCCATTATTGGGAGGGGTAATTAACTATAAGATCTTGCGCCTATAGAAAATCAGAACTCGGATCTAAAGTCCTCACAAAATGAGGGTGAAATCTCTAGGTAGTGTATTATTTAAAATCTAATATGCCTTCTAAAAGTTTACCTCGGATGTTAATCCGTTAAAACTCCCCTGATAAAATGAGGGGAGGTTGGGGCGCAAATTTTTGTGGCACACTGCTTGGTAGTTATGTAGCCTTTTTTTTTTGGACGTTTTCTATGATAAGAATGAATCGCTATTATAACCACAACGTGTGTTTCATTTTCTTTGATATTTCTCTTTTCTTGCTTTTTATGAAGTCCCACCTGTAGTTAGTGCTTGCTATCTTAGAATAGCTCCATGGATCACTTTTTTTTTTATCACTAGATTTATTGGAATAAAATTGGGAATGAGTACATTTGACGATATGAATCACTTGAAAAAGAAACGTATTCGTTCTTTAGCAGATCTATTACAAGATTAATTCGGATTGACTCTTGTTCGTTTAGAAAATATGAATTCATCAACTTCAATAAGGTGAACATATCAGCTCGTGGGATAAGACATATCTACAACATACATCAAAATGATTTTTTTTTTTCACTAGATAATATTTTTAGCTTATCTTGTAGGTGGCACCTAACACATTATATGTAAATATGGATAATTGATAGCACATTATATATAAAAATATATGATATATGTAACATTCATTTGAAAAATGTTCATGCTAGGCATAGGGTAAATATGACTTAATGTTAACATGACATTGTTACATAAATAAAAATGTTATTCAGATAGCAATTCTGTCTTTCAAATATTACTTTGATTTAATGTCATCTTATTTTAGAATAATTAATAATGATTAATTTTTAACAATCAATATTAAGATAATCTAAATATTATTTAATTTTTCAATATTTAGCTTACATTGATATTAACTATTGATGTTACTCTATGAGATATAACATCAAACCAAACATCAATCATCATAAACCTAAATTTCTTTTAGGAGAGAATGTTAACATACGGCTTCTTTATGCAAGTCAAAAATTAATTAAAAATTAATTTCACATTAACTTGCTAACATTAACAAAATTATTTTAGCATGATGTAAGTCTACTTAATTATGAAGATTTTCTTTCCTGAATATCAAATTTATCAAAATTTCTATAAACTCATGCATGCCTTTTCCCATTTCTAATATTTTAAATGTGATAAATTTAAGCTTTGTTTGAAACAGCTTTCTTATAACTTCTTAAAGCAGTTTTTAGTACAAAATTTTTTATTTTTCTACTAAAAAACTGCTTTAAGAAGCTGTCCCAAACAAAACCTTAGTTTCAAAGTATCATGTTGTTCTAATTTAGTCCCTAGATTATATAAAATTGATCCAAAATGATCTCTCATGCTATAATTGATTAATTGTGATATAAATCGATCCTAATGTAATCCCTCTATATAAAATTGATCTTTATTTAGATCATTTTGTATAGTCGAGAAGCTACAAATGGATCATTATAGCTCATTTTGTATGGTCAAGAAGCTAAATTAGAATAATGTGATATTCTAGAACTAAAATGATCATATATAAATAGCCAAGAGATTATTTTGGAATATAACCAATTTCAAACGTTAAAAGCAAATAACACTGAGGCTAAATTTTATTAAACAACAGCAATTCATACTGCTGTAAAAAAAAAAAAAAAAAAAAAAAAAAAAAAACAATTCATGCTGCTTCTGCCAAGCAGAAATGGCTAAATGTTATTTTCTCACACGTCTCTACAATTATCAGCTTCTGTAACAAAATAATTATCATCCCAAAAGCTCCATCTTTGCAGTAAAATTACTGTTAGTGAGTGATCTACAAGCACATCTTCACAGGTTGGGGTGATACTGAGGCTTAGTTTGGGACGACTTTCTTACTACTTAAAACAGTTTTTCAGTACAAAATTTTTAAATTTTGTGCTAAGAAATTGTTTAAGAAGCAGTAAAAAAGCCGTCCCAAACAAAGCCTAAATCTCAATTAAATGCGGACGCACACTTCCAAATCACACCTTCTATATGGTACAAATCCCTTGCTACACTTCACTGCTCTTCCATTATCAGTTTTGCTTTCATTTTGCACAATGAAGAACTCCACTTCCTTCTTATCTCTGCACTCATCTGGCTTTGATTCAACGGCATTAGCACCTTCATAGTCGGTGTTAGAACCAGTACCTGAGCACTCATTCTGCAAATTAGACTGATTCAGATCTTCTCTTGATCTCGTTTGTTGCTGCGAATAGGCGTAAGTAAATGGTATGTTTGGATAGAAAGGCAGCCATGGCAGAGGAAAAACTCGAGCTTCGCCGGTTGAGTTTGCTGCATTGCCATATAAGGGAGGCCAGCAATAGTATGGTGGAAGATAACCCCCAGGCCATGTGCCATTCGTTGAAAAGCCTCCATTGATGACCTCTTCAGCTAGCTTTCCTGAATCCAATTCCATCCCAGCATTGCAATTGCTTTCAGCAATCATGCCTTGGGATGCTCTGTGATCGGCATCGGCGGCTTCTGTGGAAAATTGTTTGCAGGAGTTGGCGACAATCAATGTTCTCCCAAAAAGTTTTAGAGTTGGTCCTGTTTGTTCTTCTGAAGAAGCTTCTTTCGAATGGATGCGTTCCATGGAACAATTCATATCGAACTCCTGGAGATGTACATTGAAGTAACAAATTATTTCAGGCAGTTAATTGAACAGCTCAATGACTCTAAAAATCAAAGCCGGCTAAAAAATCAGACTGAGATTTGTCTCAGATAGAGCTTGGATCATAGGCTTCGTTTGGGACGGCTTTCTTACTACTTCTTGAAGAAGTTTTCCATCACAAAAAATAATTTTTTAATACTAAAAAGCTGCTTTGCGAAGCAGTAAGAAAGTCGTGCCAAACGAAGTCATAATCAGCGACTGAACAAAATATTTATGCCCAGCTTGTATTGAATTTGAATTGACCCAACCAAGTTGAGAAAAATTGACATATACATAAGCTTATGTACACTTATGAAACATATTTTTATGTATTTAAGCTTCACTAGTGTAAAAGCATGTCTACATATATATTGACACAGGCATGTAAGTTCAACTATAAATTTGCCTTGGAAAATACGAAATGCCTACAAAATCATTTGATTTTTAGATTGGATCTAAATTGAATCAAATTTAACACCAGATTAAACAAACTCATGGCAAGATCTGAACTAACGAGATCATGCTAAATAGCAATGAGTTAATTTTGACTATAGTCAGATCAACTTGAGATTGGATTGTTAATAGTTATCCATGTAACAATTCAAAATCCATACCATTGTAGGTTCATCTTCAGTTGTTAGCCCAGCAGGTGTTAAGCCTAATGACAGGTGTTTATCATCTCCTTCAACTGAGTTTTTGGATGATGGAATTCCACTCTCATGATTATTTGATCCGAGTGCAGATCCCCCTGGCGATGCACAACCATTTGGGTTATTTGACAGCAATGCATCAATTGACTCTGATCCAACTACAGATAGAACTGATGTTGGTGATCCGTCTTGTTCCGAGACAGAGAAAACAGATGATGAACACCTCTCTAACTTCCCAAGAATCGTAATCTCCTTGGTGGAGGAAAGAACCTGTTTGCGAGGGTATGGACGGGTTGGTTTCTTTTTCGGCCGAGGAGGTGGAATTTCAATCGGCTTCATCTTTCCAGTTCCATTATCATTTGCTTCTCGAGCCATCTGCATCATTTAAGAGAATAGTTCATGAAAATAGTGAAAAAAATGCTCTTCATTGAGGGTTTTGAGGAGAGCTCTAAGAATGAGAGTTATAACTTCATATTATTTAGATGAGTGATTCTATAATGTAATCGATGAGTGAGTCCCTTAGATGATTATAATTTCCTAAATGTTATCAGGGAGCGAGCCTTCATGATTTTGGATGAGTTAATTGCCACTTATTCATGTACTTTTTCCCATGTACTTGCATCTTACTTTGTTTTCTTGTACTACATCATACTGGCTAATATTAGTATTCATGAATGATTTAACTGGCATTCTTCTCAACATATGAATATGAAACGATTACTTGAATAGAAAGAAATGAACCTTAGAGACAAACTTCTGTGCATGGCTTCGAATTTGCACTGCAGTCTTGGTTCCAATATGCTCTGCAAGACAGTTCTTCCAAGCCAAACTCAGAATAATTACAAGCCAAGGCACTTGTTTAGCAGCCTGACAAGCAACTTATTCCTTACCTTCAATGCAACGCCAAGCTCTGCCATGGAGTTGTACAGCTTCAAGAAACTTCTTGTGCTCATCTTCTGTCCACCTCTCACGCTGCTTAGTTATGGTATAAGGTTTTCTCACCTGATTAATTTACAAACAAGCAAAGACAGAAAATTAGGACCTCATTAACCGATCACTTCAAATATATAAACTATTACAAAGAAAACATCCACCTTTGGTGTCATTTCAACTTTATCTCCATATGAATCTTGATCTTTTGTCAAAATCCCATTCAAAGAATTTGAATTTGTGCAGTCACTTTGGCCCTGTTCACAGAACAAACACAATATGACCAAACAATTCATCATTTTAAATCAAACATCCTTTATTACAAATCCCTGTCTACCAATTTCCCTGGAACAACAAGTTCCTATAAAGCAATGCTGAATTATTTAAATCTACTCATCTAATGATGTATTTCTATCCTTTATTATAAATCCTGAGAAATGAATATCTCATTTAAAGATCTACAGATTCTAGGGGAAAAATAGTATGCCGTCTTTGTTGTCACAGATAAAGAACATCTCAATACCCGAACCAAAATAAAATTATTTTAAGATTAAAAATCAGAAAACTCTACGAACTTAATCCGAGCATCCCACCGGTAATTTGACTGGATTCAAGAATCGGAAAACCAAACAATTCCCAAAATTTCCACCATCATAATCTAATAAATCCAACTAGTATTTTATCAAATCCAAACTTCAACCAAACATGCCCTAAACCTGTAAAACCCAAGCAGAAATACAAATCCCACCACGTTTCATCTCAAATCCACCATTATTTCTCCATCAGAAAAAAAAGAGTAAGAAAACCCGCACGGATCCTAATATCTTCCTACCTTTTCCCAACAGATTATAAACACTCACAAACAAACTAATTAAAAGAAAATCAGTACCTGTAGAACGCCTACCGCTTCAGCCATGAAACCAGAATCGATTGCTTCAGCGCTTTCCGATCATAGAAACATCAACCGCAAGCTCATCTTCCCAAACCCATAAGATCGATTAGCCTTCCAGCTTTCCAAGAAGCTTTCCGCAGCAGAAAAATGGTGCCAGCGTATGGGATTTCGGCAGAGCAAAGCCAAGTCTCAGAGAGAGAGAGAGAGAGAGAAAGGTGCCAGCGTGTGGGAGTGCGGCAGAGCAAAACCCAGAGTCAGAGAGAGAGAGAGAGAGAGAGAGAGAGAGAGAGGATGAGAAATGGTGGAGTGGGAAGAGGGGAAGGGAAAAAGTGGAGGAGAGGTGCCACGTCAGGAGGGCCATTGGCCATTGGCTATTGGCCTGTAGAGTTTTGGGAAGATGGATGAAAACTAGTGGCTGGCATTTTACGTGAGGTGAGACGCAGAACCCTTTTGACCCGCTTCCCATTGGCCACAACATGTGGGGTGGGTGGTTGGGTGTATTGTAGGTGCGCATATAGATAATTTTTTTTTAATAGTAAGCTATTAATTAAGAAATTTTATTATTATTATTATTATTATTTTATGAAAGATGGGCAATTGAACAGAGTCAACTCGATGGACGCCCGAACCCTTTTTATTTGGTTCGGTGTAAGGATGCAGAGGAACATTCGGTCGTAGGCAAAATCGCGCCTATACCGAGGTGTACCGAGTTTTTTCAAAAAAAGGGGTACACCTCGGTATAGGCGCGATTTTGCCTACAATCAAAGGTTCTTCTGCATCCGTTCGGAGAACGTAATAATTCTTCCTCCCATTGGGTTGTATTGTTCAGGTATAACTTCTTTAAACCAATAAAGCCCAAGTTAACATATATATAAATAATTCAATAATATATCATATAAAAAGTTATTTTATTATATCTTTATATAACTTTGATTAAGATGAAAATGGAAAATTATTGAATTTGTATGATATTAGTATTTTAAAAATAAAAATGTTATTATATTTATCTCATAATACATAGGAGAGTAAAAAAGTTAAGTGATATATATTATGCGAGGTTTTAAAAATCGGATCGTACTGGTCGATTCAACTAGTTGGATCTTGGACCGATTTGCCGACCGATCTGATCCAAGAGTAAAAATCGGTTTGCAATTGAATTGAGCAAAAACCGGTTGAATTGTCGGTTGAACCAGCTAACTGGCGAACATGATAAGTTAAGTTGAATCGCTCAGTTTTGAAATTTTGTAATGTGAGCCGCTAATCACACTTATGAGGGATAATTAACTTTAAGGTTGGCCATTTGCAGCTTTTCAATAACAATGTGTTGAGCTAAGTTTCTAAAAATTAAAGTTTCTGATAACGGCTCTGAGTTTTTTGAAAATTTTGAAATTATGTTTGTAAATTTTCTTAAATTGTGTTTCTGAAATTTTTGAACTTACTTTGAAATTGTGTTGATAATTGATATTGTGTTTCTGGAATTTGAGCTATGTTGTGACAAAATCAGATGCTTATAGAAAATCATGGACCACTGATTTATTATTTTTAAATAAAAATTATTATTTATTACATTATTCGGTTCGATTGAACAGGTCGAATCGTGAACCTCATCTTCTTCTTGTTTGTTGTCCGATCCGATTTTGTATCACATGTGAGTCCAAGCCAATTATTATGTGAGGATACTTACAAGCCAGCTCGAGTTCGAGTTCAAGCTGACTTTTTGACCGACGAGCCGAACTCGATAATGTCATTACTGGACTCGACTCGTCTTATTTACACCCTTAATGAAATTGGAAGTGACAACTTATTTATTTTAGTGCATTGTGGGAATTAATGACACTTTAGCAAGAGAGGGGCTTATGATGGGCATCACTCATCTATGACAGCTTTACTACTATTATTATTTTGAAAATAAAACGTCGAAGCTCAATATATTGCATATGTAATTCAACTTAAGTCTTCAAACAATAAATTATTAGGGTCTATTTGTGATGATTGTAATATTTTATAAAGTTGATTATGAAATTAGTATATAATAAGTATATATATTACGTTCCTGCTCTGGTTGCCAAAAGCAACTGTCTAATATATAAATTTATGATAAATAATAGTGAGAAAATAACAAACAAAGTTGCAGCCAAATAAATTTATGATTGTTGCCTAAAAAATTATACGGCAAAAAAATTGTCTCCTACAGCAGAAAAAATATTACATGCAGTCACCTGACCGTCCGAAGGCGAATCAGCAAGCGCCACATCACGCGGTACACAATACTGATACATAATAAAAAAAGTAATGTGGCACGTCTTGATTCTCCTATGAACGAAATTTATGACCGCATGCAATAATTTCACCCCATACAGACCCGTACTATGATGTTGTTTGGACCATAAACTCAAATATGCTAGCTTGTCCTAAAATTTGAGACAAGTCAAAGAATGCTGGAAATAAAACTATTGCGACACAAAAACGAATGCCAGAGCTTCAGACAAAAAACTATCAAGTAGATAACGTAAAGCAGCTTTTATTTCATCTGCCAAAGCATACAGCTTAAGCTTTTATCACCGCAACATCATACAGAAACACATGAAACACAACATAAATACTTTATCACTGCAGCGAAATTATTCTGTGTGGAGGCCAGACGTAGCTCTATGTTCGGAGGCGAATCAGTTGCAACCACGTCAGCGGTACCGAGCTGAGGTACCAAGCAGTACCGAGCCACGATACCGAACAAAAGAGTGAAGTGGCGCATTCTAATTGATCTCCGAACGACATTCAACATTCACACAGAATAATTAATCTAATTTAAGGGAGTGTTTAGGAAAGTTTTTGTTTGATTAAATAAATTTTAAAATTATTAAATTTATTTTAAAATAAGCACAATATAAATTTTAATTGGTTATTTTTGTAATATAATAATTTTAAGGATCTTAGAGAATTGTAGCCTCATATTTCTATTGCAAAAATTTAATTTAAAATAAAATTTCAATTATATTTCCCCAACTAAAAAAATAGCAAACATTTATTATAAGCATATAAAGTGAAAATTTGCAATTGAATTAAAATAATTCAATTCAAATTAAATTCTCTCCTATATATATAATTTAATAATTTACATTTATAAATTAAAAGTTAAATGTTTTTATATATGTAATTATTTGATTGATAATTAAAATAATTGAATAAAAGTATTATGCTTTAATAAAATCAACTTAATATTTAACACAAAATTAATCATATTTTTACTCATTTAAAATTTATTCCGATCGAATTCAACTCCGTTGGATACAATCCAACATGAAGATTATGGCAAATTATTGTGTCCGGTGTTCGTATTCATCCGGACACCAATAAAAATGCGCCACGTCACTCAAAAATATTGGGGCCCAGTGCATCCGGATGAGGTGGCGTGACGCGATTGGATGTCCGCATGTAAGGTGACCGGACGCAATAATTTGCCGAAGATTATTCCAAAAACCTTGAAGCTGGCAAGCAAAGAGCTGGCCGGGCCCACGTAGGGCCCACCAGTGCGGCTTCTAACCACTATTGTATCGAAACGTGTTGTTCATTAGTTGGCGCATTGGAACTATTTGACAAGTGGGGAACTATGCTGCCGGTAACATGCGCATCCCAATCTAACTAAATAATTTAAAATACTTATTTAAAAAATTATATATTTTTATACTTATATTGTAAATTCCAATTTAATATTTATAAAAAATGTAATTTTTTTATATATTTGATTGTAGTTTATTATTTATTTATAATAATAGCTATGTATCTAATTCTATTGAATTATCATTAAGTAATAGGGCGGTCAAAATCAGATTATTGATTGGGTTCATGTCCAATCCGAAATTTAGCCGATACAAATTGAATTGACCTAAATCCAACCCATTTTTACAAACATGTCAATTTTTTGAACCCGAACCCGACCCGCTTTTGATCTGGGTCAACCTGACAAGACCCCCAACCCTGGAAGGCGACGACAACAGCTACATCAGTGACGTTTGGCGAAGGCGACAACGACGGAGTTTGGCGAGGGCGACAACATTCGGTCCAGAGGTGGCAACATTTAGCGAGGACGGCTACGAGTGACATCATATTCACGTAGTGAGGAGAAAGAAAGATGATTTTTTTTAATGTCACAAATCCAACGAAAGGTCTCTCACCCGGCTTTTTGTTCTATCATCTCCAATAAATAGTCAGGGCTCATTTGGTTCCCCATTTCTCCTCCGTCTTTCGGTTTGAAACGGAGAAATTAGTTGACGGATAATGTTTGAATGTAAGACAAACTTTTTTAAAAACTTCATTTCTCTTCCCTTTTGAGAAGCATAATATATTAGCTTCTCCCTTTCAAAAACTCTATTTCTCATAGTGATGTTTTTGAAACTGAAACGATAAATAAATCAAACGAAGCCTCAATTTCACTATTCAACCACATTTTTTCAAATGGTGGGGCCAAGCATACAGACGTCCTCACTCCCAAGGGCTGCGGGTAAAGGCATACAACAAGGCGAGGATTTTTTTTTTTTAATTTTTTGCTAACAAGTTAGTTCCGATCAATTTTGGGTTAGCAGATTGACCCATATCCGATTTATTTTTTCAAACGGGTCAAATCCTAGAACCCGAATTCGACCCATTTGAGAAACATGTTGACCGTAATCCAAAATTTTTGGTTCAGGTTCTCGTGTTGTTTCAAATATTGACACCCCTATAAAATACAATAACATTTTCACACTTCGTTGTCTTTAAAATCTCTCTAACTACAACGTTATACGACGATAAAAATAAAAAATCTCTATTTTCAAATTTCAAGGTTATTGGTGTTCGATTGAAAGTAATATTAATGCAAAGTACTACTTGAATGAATTTGAAATACATGCATTCTTCATAAATTCAAATGACCAACATCAAAATACAGTCTAAATTCTTGCTGTCAAACAGCCCCTAAATAACATTTTTGTAATAAAATTAGTGTTTCTGGCTTTCTGCTCCCAGCCACATGTACTGCGTGGCTTCTGATATACCCTAGGAAGAATACCACAAATTTGAGGTCTTAAATATTTGGATTATTGCTGAGACATATATGTGAAGAATCCCAGTCTCCACATTCTGTTAATGAAGCTGCATATTCTAAGCAAGAATATTCAATAAAAAAAGCCAGAAAACACTATGTTTTCTGAACCAATGAACAGTCAAATTGGAGTTTAAGGTTTTATTTGGGACGATTTTTTTACTATTTTTTGAAGCAGTTTTTTAGTACACAAATTTTTTACTAAAAAGAGACTTTAAGAAGCAATAAAAAAGCTATCTCAAACGAAGCCTAAAAATGCGAGAAACTCAACTTGAAGCTAGTCTGTCACACAAAGACTTGTATGCTGTACTGCAATTCTTGAATTTTTCCTCTGCCATTACCTGAAAATGCAGCAAGAGGAAATCATTTGCCATTTGGACTATTGATAATAAGAAGAATAAATGAATAAAATGGTTTTTAAACTTATTAAGGCTTCATTTGAGACGGCTTTTTTTATAACTTCTTAAAGAAGTTTTTTAGTACAAAAAATAAAATTTATGTACTAAAAAAATTGGTTTAAGAAGTAATAAGAAAGCCGTCCCAAACGAAGCCTAAGTGCGTTCGTTTTAATCTTAAAATTTTTCAGGCGTTCAATTTAGTTGTCCCTTAATTCATGAATCAATGTGGTTATGCTGTTAATTTTGTCATTCTTTGGATGAAATTGGAGGGACAATTTTCATCAGACTAATTTGGATTTTTTAGAGCAAATCTAACTTATTCATGCTGGTTTAAACTAATGAGATTGACCCTCAAAGTTCAAAATTTTATCATGGAAATCTTCCTTCTACTGATTTCCATCAAAAGAAACAACAAACTTGATGGTAAGAACAAATTGATTCATCTTTAACTGGACTAAATTGAACATTTAAAAAAGTTTAAGACTAAAACAGACATACCTAAAACAATCTTGGAGACTATTTTTGTCATTTATTCACAATAAATGTTAAGCTGGGATCATAGCTAATTTTGATAGAAAGCAGTTTTTTAATCCTGAACAAACGCTACAACCTAAGGCTTCATTAGGGATGATTTTTTTGTTACTTCTTAAAGCAACTTTTTAGGATAAAAATTTTAACTAAAAAGCTGCTTTAAGAAACAACAAAAAAGCTGTCCCAAACAAAACCTAAAATTGCCGGCAGTATGTGTTACCACTCAACTAAATCTCATCGAGGAGCATATCATCTAATGCCTTAAAACAGGGAAAATCATATGTAAACTTGGCAAGAATCACTAATCTTTTCTAATCAGGTCATTCGGAGGATGCTGTTTTATGTGGCCAAATCATCTAAGGTGACTCTCTATAACCTCATCTTCCACTGGAGCTACTCAGACCTTTTCATGTATATGCTCATTTCGTATCCTATCCCTAAGAGTAAAGCCACTCATCAGCCAGAGCATCCTCATCTATTCAACACTTAACTTAATATTATGCTTCTCATTTAATGGCCAACATTCTGCACCATAAAGCATTGCAGGTCTCACCACTATTTTATAGAATTTTCTCTTAAGCTTGAGGGGGATTTTTTTATCACACAACAAGCCTAATGCATTCCTCAACTTCAACCATCCAACATGAATTATACTAATAATATCTCCATCTATTTCACCATCACTCTGAATAATAAACCCAAGATATCTAAAACGTGTCTTCTAATAAATGACTTGATCGCCCAAAGTAACAATCCCCTTACTAGATCTATTACTACTAAAATTATACTCCATATATTCAGTTTTAGGTCTACTCAAACGAAATGCTTTAGACTCTAAAGTTGACCTCCATAATTCAAGTTTACCTTCAATATATATAGACAAACACTTGCACACAAAAAAACACACAAATCAACAGTGGTGAAACTAAGAAGTTGCAAGGGTTGGCTCTCATCCTCAAATTTTTGAGAAAAACCCTGTTATATTTGAGTATAGCATATAAGTTTTTAAATAAACGATCTTATCGCAATGTGTGAAATAGTTGTCCCCCCTACATTCTGGGTAAGTCTTTTTGGCCTCCTTGTTTTAAGAGAGAGAGAGAGAGAGAGAGAGAGAGAGAGAGAGAGAGAGAGAGAGAGAGAGAGAGTTAAACTTGCCTTTGATGTGCCCTGATGACGATCTGGATGCCACCTTAAAGCACAAACTCGATACCTGAAAAAAAAAAAAAAGAGTAAAAAAAATTTAACTTGACATTGAAATAGGACACTAGATAGATTCATTAAAGTCAGTTGAAGTTCATGCTTATTTAAATTATTTGTAGGCCCTTGAGATGAAGATTTCAAAAACATTTTGAGATCTGATTTAAGATTTTGAAATCTCATTACTACATTAGAGTCATTGGATTTTCCATCATATGAGAGCGTAGTCTTTTTTCCCCCCACTTGTAAATAAGAAGGCACCTTCCTTATTTATCATAATGAGACTAAGGCTTCGTTTGAGACAGCGTTCTTGATACTTCTTAAAACAGCTTTCTAGTACAAAAAATAATTTTTTTGTATTAGAAAGCTGCTTCAAGAAGCAGCGAGAAAGTCATCCCAAACGAAGCCTAAATGATTCACCTCCTACTCCTCTCCCCACCCATTTGTGAGTTCCAATGATTAGTAAATGATTTTCAGATCATGTAACCCCATGACCAAAGGATAAGAGTAACATAATTTTAACAATCTCATCATCATCATTAGCCTCATCCCAAGTAGTTAGGATTTACTATATGAATCCCCGTTCCTCATTCTCCATTCTCCCAATTGAGTGCAACATGAGAAGGGTTTTAAGAATTTAAATTCAAAATTAAAATTCGCGGAGTTCTTTAAAATTTGTGGAGTTCCTTAACCTACTTTACGATTAGTGCTGGATTATTTACCTATATATACATATCAAAACACTTGTAGGAGCATTAGGATTAAAATTTTAGTCAGGATATCAAATTATTATTTTTAAGTATTACTTAAATTTAAATGTTTCTGTAAATAAAATGGGGACATAAACAGGTGGTGAAGCCTGCCTTCTCTGTTGGAGTTGTTAAGCAAATGGAACCAAATTACAAACTTTCCCAACACTTCAAGTTTTGGGAAAAACCTTTCAAAAGAGAGAGGAGTTGTATGAGTTTAGACTTGGCCTTACGCAAATTGCAAGGATCATCCTTGTAAATAAAAGAACTCTCAGCAAGGTAAGGAAGACTTACGCGTTCTTTACTTCCTTAAGTTTAAGTGGACCTGAAGCACTCAAACCAAGAGTTAATCTTTCAGAGGCTAAATCAGCCGGTGGGCAAGTATCAGCACCAGTATCATCATCAGTTTCCTCATCTGTTTCATATCTCCAATCTGAGAAGCATTTATGATTATGGCCAGAGGAGCAACGCCACTGAAAATTTCCATCTCTACTCGAGGCCCAATAATAGAATCCTTCCCTCCCAAAAGCAGAGTGGAATATGTTCTCAACATCACCATCATCATCATCACTATTTTTCCCGAAATCGAATCCATCTTTTCCTGAGCATAGATTGTTTAAAAATAGCTAAGTAAAAATCCCAACAAAAACTATTATGAACATCAACCAGTATCAGCTTTAATTTTATAGTCAAGTCACTTTAAAGATGAAGGACTAACAATAAACAAGAAGTGAAATGAACAAAAAAAGCGACAATTTATGTGATTAGCACCAGCATTGACAAAAAAAGGGATCTTGAAGATGAAGTATTTCCTTACTTTTGTTCTTGGACCTTTCCGATTGAGACTCATGTGAGCTAAAACCGTTTAACTTTGTTCCCTTCGACCAATATGGCCTACGGAACCATACGGTGCTGCTATCATCTTTCCAACTCTGAAATCAAAGCTTAAATGTCAATTATGGTGATTTCTGAATATACAATTCTCATAGTATTGAAAATCGGGTAAAATGCAGCCATGCAATATGATAAAGGGGGAATAATAATGTCACTTATCACTAGAATAGAAGTGATTAAACAATTAAGCATGCAATTTTAATATGTAGGAAAATAACAATATAGGCAAATATTATGGCTGAATGGCCAATTGCTTAGAAGTTTGTCATCTTAGGCTTCATTTGGGACAACTTTCTTCTTGCTTTTTAAAATTGCTTTCTAGTACAAAAATTTTTTGAATTTGAAAATTTTGTACTAAAAAGCCGTTTTAAAAAGCATTATGAAAGCTGTCCCAAACGAAGCCTTAGTTATACCTTAATTTGGTTCGATAAAAAAGCTAGAGAATATACGTAGGATTGAGACAAAATCATAAATCCATGCATCAGTTAATTCTATAACATAGGAAGCCCCAAAGGCATTAATACATTAATTCGTCCATGCAGGACAAGCTAAGGTGCACGGGAACACACAGAAGCCTCAATACTTGTTGTTTCATGCATGGTCAGGCGGCCTGATAAAGATAAATAATCATTTTAAATTAAATAAAGAGTCTAATGAGGGTAAGGTGTTTAAATGTTATCAGCTCAAAATTATTCTCATTAGAAAATCAAGTGGGATATTAAACTACCATTATTATATTAGACCACCCCTGTTAGCAGATACTTGCAAGAGGAACCCCGTAAAATATCTTCCTTGTGGTACCACTACGCCTCTCTCTCTCCTTCCCCACTCTCCCCTCCCCCCCCACCCCCTAAAACTCCACAAATAGCTTTACCCAAAAGCTAAATTTGTTCCAATAATGATAGCTCTTGGCATTGGAGCATTCAATCATAAGCATCCATGACAGAGGAAAGGTTCACAAGTAACTCTCACATAAATAGGATCATTTGAAGCCACTGCACCTCTCTCATTCTGGTAAGGTTTGACGATTATAATGGCATAAATAAAAGCGACATTCGAAGATCCAATTGAAGCCACTAAACCTACAATAGTACAAGGAAAACTCTCCATCACAGGAAAAGAACTGGAAAGTTAAACGAACTAGAAAGCTTAATAACAAATTTCATTATGCAGATGACTAATACAAAAGATATAAATACCTCAAAATAAACTGACGTTGCTACTAATAGATATGGTCAGCATAGCTCATCATGAAGAGATGAAATGTTCCTTGAAGAAGATGGACGATGGTGTCATGATAACTAAAATCAGTGAGCAACATATGTTATTCTCTACTGCAAATGAAGTTTGGGGCACCGTCAAACAAGGGTACTCAAAAGTAATAGATGTTGCCCTCATCGATGAGATAAAAACTAAGATTTCAACAACTAAATAAGGCAACCTTCCTGTTATTAGATACTTTAATGCGACAAAGGTTTATTGACTTGAATTGAATTATTATCAAGATCTCATGATGACATATTGTGATGATGCACTAATTGTCAAACAATTTGTAGAAAGAGAAAAGTGTTCCAGTTCCTAGTGGAAACCAATAATGACTTCAACTAAGTTTGTGTCCAAATCTTAAGAAAATAAAACTTGCAATCACTAAATGAGATTTTTTTCTTTTATATGAGCTAGAGAAGGAAGAAATAGTAATGTTCGACACATAGATCTCCAAAATAATGTTATAATAATCACTGAATGCCACGATAAAGACTTATTGCTACAAACTTTTTTTCTTCAATAAGAGGAAAAAAAGTTATTTAAAAGTTATTTCAAAGTCAATATATGGCACAACTACTTAAATGACACATCAAAGAAAAATACTAAAAACTCTACAGAAAGTTCCCAAGCTATGATGGAAATAAAGAAGACCACGAAAAGGGTACACTTTTTATAGAATAAAAAAGGCTCAATCCAAAAGAAATTAACAAACTAAAAAACTTCATTATCTCTCTGGGAAAACTATCTAGATCTAGCTCTCTAGTTTAAAATAGAATAGCTTCTAACTCTTATATTTTTGGCTCCTTGAACAATTCTCCTCATACCTAGATCTTAATATTTAGCTTCTAACAACCAACGTTCTCAACCTTTTTCAATCCTGCAAGCCCTGCTCTAATAATAGAAAAATAGAAATGGTTAATGATTCTCCAACAATTGTTGTGGCCAAAGAAATGTTTTAATTTCCTCCATATTTATCCTCAGTAATTTATTGCATGTTTCTCATTTTGCGGCAATCTTTTATCGATCCATAAAAGCACTAAAGATTACAACTGTAAGATAACCTTTTTTGCTAAAGGTTGTGTATTTTAGGACCTTATTATAAACAAGACGGTTGGGCAAGCACAAAAAAATTATTGACTACATCTTCAAGGCAAAAACCACTTGTCATGTTCCTTCATTTCTACCCTTAATACAAAAGCCATTTGGAAATATTATTACAAGCTAGGACATCTCTGATGCGGACATCGGTATGAAGATTTGGCGCATCTATCACAGGAGCCGTCGTAAATCGACGACTATCATTTAAACCTTCAATTATGATTTATTTTTCTGAATTTTAGTTCTAAATTAATGTATTTCCTGTTTTACCTCTAGGATAGTTTATTTGAGTGTTGTGGCCCAAGGGGCAATTTTGTAATTTTGATTTTTCTCATATTGGGGTCTATAAATAAGGGTCTTAAGCTATTGTAAGAGGATGGTTGATTAATATGAAAAAAATTTGTTTTCCACACTTGTGTTCTTCTTGGGAGAGGACGAGAGTGAGATTTCTATGAGAGAAATCGAGAGTTTCACCAGCCGCAGGATGGGTCCGGGCTCGTGACGTGAAGTCCCTTGGAGAAGGGCAAACAAATCACCGTCATAGTCTTCGAGAAGAGTCTCGAAGGCTCGCCTGGTTAGTTTTTATTTTCTCTCTTTCGTTTTATCTTTCTATCTTGGGTTTTGTTTTCTTTGTTCCGTCTTTGTATTCCTCGTGTGTTGCTTCCTAGTGTCATCTTTTCTCTCTTCCTTCAAACTAACACGCCAAACACCCCTCATACCGCCGGCCCAATCTCTAGCCGCTCGGCCCACCCTGTGTTTGTATCCATTGATGAGAGTCAATGTTCATCTTAAAGCTTACCCTAAAAGAGTTCCAAATTAATTTAGGAAATTATTTTTTTCATCATTTTGAATTCAAAATTTTTGAATTTCAATAATTTTCCTAAATTAGAAAGGCTATTTTAGGAAAGTATTGAATCTAGTTCATGATCTAATTCAAAACTTAATTTGCGGTGATTAAATTTTGCGGCAGTTTCAAAAATTCAAATTTTTCAACTAATTTGAATTCTTTCCCTAATTTATCATCTTCCGATTTTGAAAGTTACTGAATTATTAGTTTGGGAATTTCAAATTCAAATAGGGTTTAATTATTTCTTTCCTAAACTCCACCCCCAATTGAGTAATCACAATTAAATGCATTAAAACTCCTATTCCCCCCTTGGCTGCCGCCGGCCCAACCTTGCCCCCATTGGCTTGATTTATTAATTACTTCCTAATCTCCCCTCTTGGCTTTAGGAAATAATTTTAAATCTCCCCAATTCCACTTAGCCGAAACACTCATTCATCTCTTGGCTCTAAATTAATTTCCAAATCTCTAAGAATAACTTTAAGTTATATTTCCTAATTTCTTCTCAGCTCACCGTTTCCCCCTTAGCGGATTTCCTCAAAATCTGTTCACGGGATAATGCAGATTTGGGGAAAGAAATTAATGGGCTAACCTGCTGTTAGCCGAAGCATTCAAGGCCTCCCTTGGGTTACTCCTCTCCCCACTTATTCTCTTCCCAAATCAAGCCGAATTCTCTCTGGATTATCTCCACGTAACAGAATTTCCATATCTTCCTACCTATGCTATTAAGGAATTGATTTGGAGCATTAAAGTTCTCCCCAAGTCATTAATTCCTAAGCCTAGGTATCCGAATTTTCCAAGCAGCTTTTGGAAACAAAACTAGCTGAAGTTATTTCCAGATTTCATTAACGGGGATTGGAGTGTGTTTCCTCTTCAAGAGCAGGCTGACATTTGAATTTCTCTGGTCTCCACCGCCTACTCCTCCCACACGGAACTTTCTACCTTCTAATACTACAACCCAGGTTTTCCCACCCCTGCTCTCACGTCTCCAGCAATAAGAAACCTATTAGTTGATGTTTTTCTACCACAGCAAATTGTTGTCCAGCAATTCTTGTCTTTCTCAAGAGAAAATCTGAGAGTCTTCTCAGGTTCTGGGCAAAGAGATCAAAATTTCCTTCAGATTTTGGAGAGGAGATCCTCTCCCTAACAAAGCCTTCACCCGTTCTACATCAATCTCTCTTTCAAAATCCTTCAAAATATGTTTCATTCTCTTGTTTTGAACATTAAAAAAGAAAAAATTTCATCATGAGACTTGTGAAATTATCAAACATCATCGTGTTGTTTTTCCTGAAAGTAATTCTAGATCCTCTACTCTTTGTTTAATTGTTCGCTCTAATATTTGGGGAGCTTCTAAAATCTAACATTTATGGAGCTACAATACTTATCACCTTTAGCGAAGATTATACTTGGATGACATGAATATATCTTATCAAACAAAAAAATAATGTCAGCATTATTCTTCACATTTTTACTGCTATGATACAACAATAATTTCTTGTTAACATTAATGTATTTTAGACTAATAATACTCATGATTATTTTAATCATCTATTATCATCTTACTCTTAGAAAGAATGTATTATCTACCGATCCTTTTGTCTTGAAACTTCCCAACAAAATGGAGTGGCAGAAACAAAAAAAATCAAAATCTTTTGTAAGTCACCATGAGTCATATCTTTCATATCAAGTTCAAAACAGATACTGGGAATAATCAGTCCTAATTGTCACAAATCTGATCAATAGAACATCCTAAAAAAATGATTGGCTTTAAAAATCATATAAATTATCCAGCTAAATTCTTTTGCATGAATAACTTCTTAAAAATTCTCA